CGGGGGGCTGGCGAGGTGGCTCCCCAGGCAGCTGGCTCGATGTGCCCCTGGAGATGCTGAGGGTGCAGGTACCTTCACAAATGCAGGGTGTGGAAGGGGAAAAAAATCCACCCAGGAGACACCTGCGATGCTCCCAGGGGTTGCTGTCTGGGGTGACAGCCCACGGGCTCCCCGGCACGCGGCCGCGCTCGTCTGCTGCCCTGACACTCACCTCCTGAGCAGCCCTGCCTATCCCCCCGCGGGCCCTGGCCATCCCAGCCTGAATGCCCCCCTGCACCCTGGCTCAAGCCCTGCTCCTCCCAGCCCCTCTGCGGCCCCTGTTGTCCCCCCAGATGGTGCCAGGTCCTGGCCACAGTGCCCTGGGGCAAAGCCTGCAGCGAGTTATGGCCAGGAGGCAAGTCTGCAGCGCTGATGAGATGCACCTAATTATCCCTAATTACAAGGGCAGGGCAGCAACTGCCAAAGCCAAGAACTAGTTCATGCTCCCTGGGGCCAACCTCACCACGCTGGCAGAAATCCTGTGTGTCCCAGGAGCCCTGGTTTCGCTATGTAACGCAGCCCGGGCTGCCTCACAGCCCTGAGCGCCCCACAGCCTACTTCAGCACCTGGGCTAGGCACAGCCAAGAGGGTGAGCATATCCAGAGAGGTCACCTGAAGCACAGTGACACATTTGGGGGGAAGGGTATGAACGTGGGGGCTCCTCCCAGGAACATCTGGAGCTGTTTTCCAAGGCAGGGCCCTGGTAAAGCTCAGCTCCAAGGATGCTGAGCCCAGGGTACTCGCTTGTGAGTCCTGCTGGGATGCTTGCTCCCAGCTCTGATCCGGCCAGCTGGGATGTCCATGGGCATTTCTAGGCATGAGTCCTTGTGCAGGACAGGCAGAGCTGCCCCAGCAGAGCAGATACTAGCCACCCCAGCCTCCTTCTTCACCATCCTGGGGAGAGCTGAAAGCTACCACCAAACCTCCCCAAGGTCTCAGCTCCATTGCTCACTGTCTCTCCCCACCTTCCAGCTGCCAAGGGAAGCTAATTTTTCCTTAGCCGTGGAAATAAGAGTTCTGATAGTTTTTGTCTGCTCCTCCTTCTCTGGCTGGCCATTTCCAAACTCTCAGAGAAGCGCAGGAGCCTCGCTCTGCCAGGCTGCCTGGGAAGCTGACGCTTGCCCTCAAGCAAACGGAACAGGACGCACTGCATTTTGGCAGCTGGCAAGCAGAAGGCATTGCTCCGTGGGCCGCCTCCAGTACCCATGCATGTCTCATCCACACAGAGCCCTTAGGGGCAGGAAATGGGGGCTGCCGGGGGGGCCAGGGCTCAGGCAAGGGAGGTCCCGCCCTGAGACAGCTCAGCAGCCACTGGGGTGACATTCCCACAAAGCGCTTGACTGCTGTGGCTGAGACAAGGTGGTATGGCATCCCCAGCATGATGGCACAGGGCAGGGACTCGCTATGCAGCCAGCTGAGGGGCTCAGAGGGCTCCAGTCTACCCTCCTGCTCAGAGCAGCACTAGCCCCAACACCAGCTCTTCCAGGCTGCAGAGAGCTTGGCCACGAGCCCACCCACTGGCTCATCTCTTGAGACACAGGTTTGGATCCCACAGCCCCTGTCTCAAGGGCTAGCAGCCCCCTCCATGCAGGCAGCAGGGAGGAACGGGTTCTGCTGGGTGCAACACACCTCTGCTGCCTCTCACGGGAGTTGGGTGACACTCTGGTGCAGATGTCCAGATGCCTGTGTCTGTCCAGCACAGGCACCGTGCCCATGCATGGGGAGCTGTAACCAGCAGAGGGTAGCAGACAGTTGCAGCTGTCCTGCTGCAGTTTGGGCAGAGGATGCCCTGAAAGCACCCCTAATCCCAGCCACACTTCTCCCAGGCATTGCGCCTTGGCCTCTGCCACCCCATCTCATGCCTTGTCCAGGTGCGTAGCCCCAACACCCAGTGTTGGTCCCTACCACCCTCCAGGCTTGTGGAGCCCTCGAGCCAACCCAGAGCCCTTCTCAAGAGGAAGATGCAACTTCAGCAGGCATGCAGCACCAGATTGCAAACCCTCAGAGCAAGGTCACTGTCCCAGGACACTGCCCACACTGTCAACTGGGACCTTTAGGGCTGAAAGCTCAGCAACGACCCACCATGCAGTTCTCCTCGTGAGCTGCAGGGTCTCCGTTGGCTTTTACTACCACGTTGCACCCAAATCCAGCAGAGTCACTGGTACCCAGCTTGACATAAGAACCTCCTACCTTGGCCAAGAGATCTGCTGCTGGGGAAATACAGTCCTCATGCAGCTACCTGAGCTCCCCTCCTGCTTGCTGCTGAGAGCAAGCATCTGGGTTTGCTGCCCAGCAGCTATCACATGGCCAAATTGGCCCACTTGTAGAGCTGTCAGATAGGGGATGGAACGAAACCATGTATCAGGGCAGACTAGGAGAGAATGATGGAGCAGCTCTGCAAAAAAGGTCCTGGTAGACAAGCTGCCCAGGAGCCAGCAGTGTACCCTGACAGCAATGAAGATGAACCACTTTCTCGACTGCATTACCAAGACTAGAGCCAGCAGGTTAGGGGAAGCGATTAGTCCTCTCTATTCAGCATTCATAAGGCCACATCTGGACTCTGTGTCCAGTTTTGGCCCCTTCAGTACAAGAAGACACCAGCAAAGAAGAGAGGCCAATGAATAGTGACCACGATGATGAAGGGGCTAGAGCACATTAGATAGAGAAGAGGCTGAAGAAGCTGGTTTGTTCAGCTTGGAGAAGAAAAGGCTGATGGGGACTGAATTTCAGTTTTCTACTACCTAGAGAAGGCAGAGCCAGACTCCTCTCAGAGGTGAACAGCAAAAGGATATGAGACCACAGACACAGGTGCCACAAGGGAAATTCTGATGGACATAAAGAAAAAGAAAACTTCCCCATGAGCATGGTGCAGCCCTGGGACAAGGACTACAGCTGTGGGGGACCTTCATCTTTGAAGAGTTTCCAAACTCCACCGAATGCCAGAGGCTCTGATCAATCTGACCTTTGGAGTTAGCACTGCTTTGAACCGGAGATTTGATCTGAGACCTCCAAAGGGCCCTTCCACCCTACATCTATTCTATAATCCTGAGAAACTCAGATCCAGAGTTTTGTCCTGGCTTTGACCAGATCTCCAGGGGTGAGACCCCTCTATGGGATCCATCACATTCACAATCTGTCAGTACCTGTCTTCTCTCTGACATAGTCTCTACAATTAGGGGGGAAGAGACTAAAGAAAGGCTCATTCTAGGAGTTTTATTGAATAAATAGCTTTGCTTGGGCACAACCCTTGCACGTGGCACATCTAATTGAAATGCTGCAACATAGCATCCACTCCATGCTCACAGAGAAAGCATGCAGATTCCTAATCCCCCCTACCTCCTCCAGGGAGCAGGGCTTCTGCCAAGCGAGTTAGCTGAGTTTCAGTCTCCATAAAGAGGGGGATACACGAGCCCACTGCACTACAGAGTTCTTGATCTGCTACCACACTTCTGCCACCAGGCTTCCTGCTACACAAACCTAAGCAGCTATCACAAACGCAGAGCCTCACCCAAACCCCCAACCACACACACTAGAGCAACTCGGCCAGCTAGAATGTGAGTCCCAGACTGAGCGACGGGGAAACTAGGGGGAGGATTTTTGGAGATGCTTAAAGGGGTTACTCCCCTCACCCAGCTCTTAAAACCTCATGCAAAAGTCGAGGGTGTGCTGAACAAGAGACCAATCTAAAGGCTTACAGGATCTAAACTGAAATTAGAACTACTCACCTAAGCCTTACTCCGGGTAAAAATAAATAAATAAATAAAATGTGCTAAAATAAAAGGAGCTGAAATCCTACTTCCCAAAAGGATTTCTGCTATTATTGTGCTTCTGAAAATGTTATCCTGATCTCATTTACGCAACTGCAATGTTTAAAACCAGCATGCTTAAAAAGGACAAAATTTCCCTGTGGACCTTGCAAGCCAAAGCATGATATCAACTCTAAGCAACAGTGAGGCTGATCTTGCGAGTATCCCACACTGGTTATACAAGAAAAAAAAAAAAATCACAAAAAGAAAGTAAAGAAGTTAAATAAAGACAAATTAAGCTGGGATGTTTCTAAGGTCATGGGCTAACAGTGCTGTTGAGCAAGGGAGTAGGTGAAAAGTTCCTAAATTACTCAGCAGTGCTCAGCATGCCTGTTTGGAGGAGTGCCATGTAATAGCACTGATACTAATTCTGGTATGGTGCGCACACGCGTTTTGTTACTGACACACACGAGGTCTGTTCTGGGCCTCCCAGAATCAGGCTGCTTTTGCAGTGGTGACCCAGTGTTGGGATGGGGGAGAGCCAGGCCCAGCTGGTGCAAACCTAGCAGAGCTTGACTGACCACAGCTGGGCTATGTCAAATCTTACTGGGTAGTCCCTGCGTTTGTGCTTTAATTACAAGCCATGATTACCAACATTCCTATTCTCACTCTCATCTGTGCCTCCTGCTTGGGTCAGTCAGTGGATATCCTCAGCCCCGGACAGGGAATAATCTCTCCAGCAAGGCCAGGCTTTGGTCAACTTTGATGTTTATTACTTGCTCTGTGACACAGCACTGCATGGCTGGATGCGCATCCTGGCAGGATGAGGCGCCTTCACGGATAACATGGAGCAGAACATTTCCAGAGGATGGGCCTCATTGTGTGTATGTGTGTGTGAGCTGTGTCCCCCGTCTATATTTGTATCAGCAGGGCCTGATGAGACCGATGGAAGGACCCCCACGGCTTCAGAGAGCGCTGGGTCAGGTCAGAGAAGAAGGAGTTTGTGCTGTGAAGTAGCAGGCGGTTATTGATTACAATAAGGGTGCTCACTGCGAGTGCGGGAAGGATCAGGTAGCAAAGACTGGTCCAGACAAGCCCAGTGTGAGCAGAGTGCCAGGCCCTGGGTGCCTCACTGCGAATGGATGAGCGCCCCGGCTCCCTGCCCAAAGCCAAAGCCCTTGGGCCCAAAGTTCTTGGCGTAGCAGCCTGCAGAGGAAGGGAAGGAAGAGTCAGGTAAGGCCAGTAGCACAGAGGGAGCACCCAAATGAGAGCAGGTCCTTCTCTTGAGGCAGGTACTGCTGAAAAAGAGCAGGGTTTGCTACATTTGTTGGTGAAACAGAGGCCCCAGGCATAGCGGGGAAATCCCCCGGCAAGTGCCAAGTCAGCCCCCATATACCGCTGCTGGGATTCGCCGCCTCCCCATACGTTGGTCTCATCCCAGTTCCCTGCACAGTTATTTGACACCCAAGGCCTCCATCTTTCAGATTCCAGGATGAACCACCCTGGATTTTGATAGTACCTACAATCAGGAGCCTCTCCATGCCAGCTGCAAGGCAGCAGGGAAGGTGGTACTCACCTTTGCAATAGATCTCCCCGTCTTTGTCTGCCAGGGTGGTGGATTCCAGGCTTTTGCCACACTTGGCACAACGGAAGCAGGACTTGTGCCAGGACTGTGGGGACAGGAGTAGAGGCCGGTCAGAGAATATACAGCAACAGGACAGCAACGCTTTGCCTACCACTGAGTATCCCAGACCTCCTCAGCAGCAGCAACAGTGCCCTTCTTCAGAAGTCCTGTTCCTGACCCATCCTTGACTGTCTAAACCAGCCAGGTCAGATGGTCCCAACCATCAGCAAGATGGACCCTCTGATGAGTCAGTCCCCTCACCAAGCAGTGTATCCCTCTGAGAAATGCAGTCCTTTGCTTTACACCCCCAAAAAATCAGTAAACATAAAACATAAAATTAGTAAACTCCTCCAAATTAGTAAATGTACTGTTGCTGTATGCTAGCTGATGGTGACATCAGGACCGGGACACCTGCCCTTATGCAACTACAGCTCCAAGGAAGGCAACAAGCAAATATTAAAAACACAGAAATCAGTGTTTAAAAATAAAACTCCCCCATGGCTCTGCCAGTACTTAAGGGATAAATCAACTCACAGCCTCTGAGCAGACTGTAGAGTAGCCAGAGCTACTCATGGAGGAATTTTAAAAAAATAGTTTGGAAAACATGAAACCTTTTTTGGAAGAAAATGTGAAATTGGGGCTGGAGGAGGAGGTAGCAGATGGAGTCATCCAGCAAACATTAGCACATGAAATACATGCTCTGGAATCCTCTCTATTTTGCTTGAATGTAATTGCTTCACCAGCTCTGGTTCCTCGTAAACATCGAACACAGAAGCTTACCAGTAGGCCTAGCGCCCGGATCATGAATTTAAGGGTAAGTTTGTTTTCTCACCCTGGGCTGACCGTCAAAGCATCCATCAAGAATTCCTGCACTGCCAGCCTGCATAGGATGATGCCAGGAGCCTATTTCTTTCAACTAAATTCCTCCCCTCTTTGCTCTGGGGAGAGAGGACAAACACAGAAATCTCGGAGAGGACAGAATGTAGCAGAGGTCAGCGAGTGTCTCAGCTTCAGGCAGTACCAGACTCCTGGTAACGCATCATGGTAAAGATGCGGTAAGGTGGGTGAGGCTTTCCCAGCACAGCCGCTCAGGCCTCCTCGGCACTAAGCCGAGCAGCCTGACCCAGCTGCCTTGGCAAGCTCTGCACAACTACCCTTCCCTGGATGGAGGTTTGCTTTGGGACATGGACATCACTCTGGGTCTCACAACTGACAGAGCAGGAAGCGTTCCCATGCCGTACAGGGGGCTGCCCTATGGGTAGCACTGACCACTGAAATTCATTCCTGTGCCTCAGATTTGGACTGAGGCTATCACTCATTCAGTTAGCGATGGCAGCAGCCATGTCCTACATCTGTGCTCATCCTCCCAACACTCTTAGCTGCAGGGACCTCCACTTTGACCTCTGTGGAGCAGCAGTCCAGTTATTTATTATAACATGTACTTCTCTCCAATCCATGTATCTGGAAGAGAGAGGCAGCTTGGAAAACCTGGTTTTCAGGTGTGCTGAGGTCTCATTTAGGCACCAGGCTTCCACATGAGCCTAGCACATGGCACTCCAAGCCTTGCCCCAGCTGGAGGTGCTGGCAGTCTGGCTTGCAATTGCCTTTGGGCCTGGTCAAGACTTTCGGTGCAGGTCTCCCTGCCACACAGCAACTCATGGTCTGTGCACGTCCCCAACCACTACATCCTTCTTCTTACCTTTCCAGCTCCAATCACCTTCTCAGCTGCATACACCGCTTGGCCACAGCGAGGGCACCCATCAGAACCTCCTACTTTCTGGGCCATTCCAGAGAAGTTAGGATTGTTGGTGGGTCGGTGGGGCTGGCCCCTGTGGAAGGGAGGGAGGTCATTATCAGTGCTGCCAAACATGAAGGAGGAGGGAAGAGCTGTGGGATCACAAATCCCAAATCAAGTTGGGCAGGCCTAGAGCTTAGGACACAATGGTGTTGAGCCCCCTAGAAACTTCAGCCCCACACCTGTGTGCCAGGTGGTGTGGGGCAACATGGTCAGCTGGGGGCAGGGGGACGGGACATGACCTACCAAGCCTGCATCCAACTGAGAACTTCAGGGCAGATGTAAGCCTCCTGCCACAGCTACGTGGCATGCTCAGGACTTGGCAAGCTCCCCAGCAAACTGGCAAGCAGCTCCCTCTGCCCTATTAGTGCTACATCAAGCTGTTTCTTCGGCCGTGTAAACCTGTAGAAGGATAACCCATCCAGCCCTGCAGAAATTCATCCAAGTCAAGTTTCCCTGTGAGCTAGCCACATCATGAGACAGGATGGGGGCTGATTCTTCAACCTCTCTGAGCAACCAAGAGAGCTAGCTGAAGCCAGGCTTTACCCTCCTCCCTGAGCATATGGACTGGCCCAAAGCTCAGAGTTTGTCACTCTCAACTAGCTCCAGGACACTTTCAGTCCCAAAAGCAAGGAAGGAAAATGGCTGTGTGTCACAGAGTGGGCAAGTAGGGCTCAGTAGGTTTTCTCAGGGGAGCACAAAAGCAAGGTAGGCCATGGCACTCCCTAGATTAAGAAATACTGGAAGTTTAGCATGGTTTGCTGGGCTACACAGGTAAGCACCACAACCAGGAGGATGTGTGGGAGAAGGTGCCAGCAACAGCCCCAGTGTAAACAAACAAACAAAAAAACACTTAAACTCACTCTTCATATTTGATTCCCAGAGACTCGCCCTTGTCAGTGCTCAGGGTCCCAGCTCCCTGTCCGTATCCATAGCCCTTGGGACCGTACTTCTTGCCATAACAAGACTTGCAGTAGATCTCTTCTCCATGCACAGCAACAGTGGTGCTGTCCAAGTTCTTCTTACAGACCACTAGAAAAGAGGGGAAGGTCATCCCATTAGCCCTGTGTACCCAAAGCTCATTAATTTGTTGGAGAAAACAAGTCCTCATGAGGGATAGTATAGCTCAGTTTTCAAGGAGCAAGGAAACCCTAGACAAGATCATTGTTAAAATGGAGTGCATGCAAAACAGCTGGAGATAAGGATCACAACAAGAACATTGTCTGGCTTTAAAAGGAAGCAATCATTATCAACCTCGTGGCTTTGATAAGGAAAAAGCTATGTTAACCCTATTTATGCCAGTATTCTTGGTGGGAGCAGTTTAGAGAAATGGGAGTTGCACTTAAGCCAGGACAGGGGGCACTGGAGAAGGTCACTGCAGAATTCACATGCACGGGAATCTCAGTGCCTAACTGCAGCTGCAGCTCTGCATATAGTCCTAGTCTGCTGCAAATACACAGCGATATGCACTCGGTGGCAAGTAGTTTAAGCAAATATTTTCCATCATGTTTGGACAGACTAAAAGCACACCTGCAGCCATTGCTACAGCTCAGGCACTGTAATTTTTAAGTACAGTAAGCTATTGCTTATAGCTGCCTCTCAGTGCCCTAAGACCACAGTGAAAGATGTTCATGCTAACATGTGTTACCCCTTGTCTCCAACATGAGTAGGATGAGCAGTCTCAGCTGAGGAGGGCTATCTCAGCTGGGTGTTCAAAGATTAACACAGGCATAAGATAAAGGGAGCGGTACAAGGACTAAAAGCCCAAATAAGCAGCTAGTGAATACGGTCCAGATCCTCTGAGCTACTTCAGTTTCCTCCTCTCCTTTGGAACATGGGGAAGAAACGCCCAAATGCACTGGAGATCTGGGGCCTTTTCTGCATTTAGCCTCAAAGGGCTCCATGAGGAGTCAGCAGTGAGGTTCAGGGATCCAGCTGAGCCAGTCCTCAGCCCAAGCTTGGTGCTGGGAGCAGGCCACACAGACTGCTTTCCCGATTCTTAGATTTTCTTGACTCCCATCCCAGCTCTGATCTCAGCCTCCACGCTGGCTTCCAAACCCTTCCTGGAACACCCAAATCAGCAAGTCAAAACAGGAGCGGAGCACAATCCAAATAGGGCTCAGAGGAACCTCCGGTGTTTACCTGCCCCGGTACAGGATCAAGACGCCCAAGGCATCCATGGAGCTGGCATTCAGCCCCAAAACAGATCCTGTTACAACTGCGACACAGCTTTCCCCAATCCTGCTTACATGCCTTAAATGTCAACGCTCCCAGCAGGCTGCTTGCCCCTTTGCCAGAAGAAAAGTTGCTTGCCCTTTACCGATATTGCAAGAATGCAAACAAAGCAGAGCCCTCCTCCTGGAGCAAAACAAACTCACACTAAATATGGGGGCGAGAGGCAGTGTTCCTCAGCCCAGTTACTAAATATGGTGCTCTTCCTCTGGAGCTGCAGTGAACCCCAGGCACTGCTGCAAGGAGCAGGAGGTGGAAAGGAAAATGTGTACTGCCATCTAAGGAGGATCTCTCAGGGTTGTCTGCTGGCTAAAGGCTTCCCCGTGTCACTGCAGCAGGAGCCGGCGCTCTGGGCTCACTTAACAATGGGAAGAGAGCACTCATCTCCACTTCTCAAAGAAAGCAGCTCTAGTAAACTGGTTCCATCACCCAGAGCTGCCAAGTTAATGTGCTGCCTTTGGGGTTGTTTCTGCATTATGGAGAGGATCAGGAGCAACTCTGCATTTAGACAGATCATCTAGTATTGGAATTGGCCCCTTTCACTGACAGGTTTAAATGGCTTTTTCCTAGGGATGATATTGAACGATACTAACACTATCTGCCTTTCCCTCCCCACATCTATGCCGAGCTGATTTAGGCTGTCTCTAGCCTAAGCTTTCCACAGTCAGCCATCTTCACTAGCCACTGATGCTTCATAAGGCAACAGAAAAACCTCTTTCCCAATGTGCTTCCTGGAAATCAGGCCCCAGCTCCAAAGTTTCTGCATTGCTGAAATTCCAACACACTGCACTCAGAGTTAAGGACCCTTTGTTTTTTTTAAGAGCAGCTGAGACACTGCACAAGATGATTTATACAGGAGCTACTGCTACTTTTAGAGGCCAAACACTGGCCTCACTACATTACATTTCTGCCTTGTAGTATTGACTGAGTTGGAACAACGCCACTCAGCCAACCACCAAGTCTCTCCCTGAGTCTATCTCCAGTTCTAATGCACTGAGGTAGGTTTGGCTCCTTTTTTTTTTTTGGTGGCAAATCAAGTCACAGTATTTGTTTTTCCTCTCCTAAAGATAGTGGGTTCAAATTCCCTGATGAGGCCCAAATGTAATACTGGGGAACAGGCCAGGAACACATGAAGTGTTCAGTGTGATTGAGCATCAGAAGTAGCTTGTGGCATACGACTGGAAACAGCAGTTAGCATTGTGGGCCAGCATGCAATCCACTGCCACAGAAGGGCCTGCAGCTAGGACAGGCAGAGCTGTTGTTGGCATATGTGGAACATGATTATGCACTCCTGGGAAGGAAAAAAAAAAAAAAAAGGGGGGGGTGGGGGGAGCTCTTGCTGTGGTCAGCTCCGGACAACTCCCTAGCAGCTTCCATCCATGAAAAAACAAGCCCACCTTCTTCCCTGCTTTGGCCACGTATTCCCTTCTTGAAGTAATGTCTTGTCTGATTCCTTAGCGTTCCCCACCCACCTTATCTGAGGCCACGGGAGAAACATGACTTCCTGTGCAGAGAGCAGCTGCCAGCACTGCCACCATACAGCTGCAAGCTGCCAGTCTCTCCCATCCACCCAGAAGGAAAGCCTCTCTCAGCAATTCCCCTTCAGTCTCCTTGAGTCAAAAGGAAACAGCAAGGTTTTTCAGACTGGAAACTCCCAAGGATGAGAACTACTGGCCATGCTCACCAACACCGCTCACACAGTGCAGAACAGATGCAGCAACATCATCTGCCACCTCTGCATGCATCTATGCACACAACATCCCAGACAGACTGGCCAAGAAGCATCCAGTATCTAGCTAGGCGGACGTAGGAGCACAGCACAGACTGGCCCCAGGAAGACACTGCTATTTTTCCCCTGGAATAGGTCTACTGACATTAATTCTAGCTGTTTGCCTATTCATAGGCCCTAGCTCTGTTTTCTGCCCATATGGAAAGGATTGTCTGTGCTCCCTGCTGCAACAGGACAGTAAAACTGGGAACACAATATAGGGACCAGGCGAGAAAATGTTAACCCTCAGTGGAGTGCCACTGCAAGGATGGCTCTGAAGATGCAGTTCTACTCACTCTGGTCTGTGCTGGATGTAATGTGTTGATAAGTCACCAGTGCACACTAGCAACTTGCACATCCCTATTGATATCTGAGAATCAATAGTTCTGTTATGGGACAGTCTTCAAGGGAGGACAGTCTGGTTGAGGACAATGTTAAACTTTTTATTCAAAGGCCCCTGCAACCCCTCTGGATTTGGTTGATTCCAGGTTTGAGGTGGGTGCTGCTTTCAGCAATATACCACTCCTCACCTGTCCCCATGCTGCTGCCCTGGTATCCTCAAAGGGAGGGGAAGGGTACCTGGGGATACTGCAGCATGAGCAGGAGAGGACATGTAGGTTCCCACAGAGCACACAGAGGAAGGGGCCTCTGCACCGAGTTAATCCTCAGCCAGATCCTGTTCTGCTGCCCTTCTCTAGAGGTGACACTTAGGTCAAGAGCTGCTGCAGGGAGGCTGGAGGTGATGTTTTAGCACTTCACAGTAGGCCCTCCATCTGTAGAAGGACCAGGTCAGAATCACATCTTCCCATCTGGGACACCGAACATGCGGGGACATTGCAGGCCTAACCAACCTCGCTAACATGGCAAAGCCCAATTGAGGAACTGAGCTAGCATCTCTCCAGAGCAGTGCGTGGGATATGCCACCTCCCATCACCACTAATTGGAGATCCCCAGCACACACTCCACAATCTTGAACATTCAGAAACAGCCTAGAGGACTCAGCCAAGCATTTCCTTGGTGTAGGGAGAGGTCAACAATTTGCACAGATGCCGACTCAAATCATCCCTGACAGCCTGGATAGCCCCTGGTGTCCTAGGATGATCTGTGTTCCTTCAACAAATCCTACTCCCAAGTCTGGAGAAAAACAGAAAGCCTATCATACAGCTCCCGCAGCTGGGCAGTTTGTGGAGGAATCCTAACAAGTGTTTACACAGCCCATAAACAGAACATGACCGGGCCTCCTGTCAGCAGAGAGCCAGGAAGTGGGGGTGGAAGGGGAGAGGAAAGGGTTGGTACTCACTGCACAAGAAGCAGGACTTGTGGAAGCTGTTGCCTTCGCACTGCACCTCCTCAGCAAAGTACACTGCCTTCTGGCACACACCGCACTTCTTCCCTCCACCCCAGTTCGGCATCCTGTGGGAAAGGCACAGGCAGAAATAACATCATTGCAGGAAACCACACAGGGCACGTGTTGGGCAGCAGCCATCTGGAAGGGCCAAGGAGCAGCCAGGCTCCACCTGCAAGCAGAAGTCCCTATGGCTCTTCCAAATGCACACATGCAGAGACCACCCACAAATGTTTGCTGTTTGCACAGATTAGCAGGGCTGCTAATTAGCAGGACTCAGGATGCCCACAGTTCCATCATTACAGCATCTATTAGTATAATCTGCCTATAGGGATGACTGGTCCTGCCAGCCAGGAGAAGCAGAAATCCCTGTCTCCTGTAAACTCTGCGATCCAACAGCTCCTTTCTGTATGAGGAAGAGGGAGGAAGCAGGAAGATGATGGAAGACAGAGCATAAAGAGGTACATAGCACTGGCACCTCATTAGACTACAGCCCTGCTATAACCCCTTGACAGGACAGCAAAGCAACATCCAAGGTAACCAATTCTTGGTGCTGGCGAGTTGCATAGATTGTCACCCCATCTGGAAACATTTCCTTCTTCTCCCCAGCTGAACATCTCTTCCATTTCTGCCACCACAGGGCAGGGCAGAGTTCAGGGTTGCTCAAAGGCCAAGAGCTGGCACCTGTGATAGCACCAAACACAGTGAGCTCTGGCACCATGTTCTCCGTGGCCTTATTAGCCCGTGCCTGCCTGGCCAACCATTCGCAGCCTCTCCCTGTACTTGGGCATTTCAGTTTCCTCCAGCACCAGAGGAACATCAAGAAGGCTGGTAAACTGGCAGTCACAAGGTTTCAGGCTCACAGGCATAACAAACACTTGAGCAGTAACCTACCTCGTATAAGACAGCCCTGATGCAACTCCTTGGTAGGAAATAAATCATTCTATTTATCTCTGCTCTTTCCTGAAATCTCTTTGATGACACATGATAAAAAGGCCACTTGATATGCAAATTTGCAGATGAAAACAAAATATAGTGTGAGTGGCTAACACAAGTGACAGACCCCCAACCCAGAGAGGCCTTCATACATTGGAAGACTGGGCCAACAGAAATCTCAAGGCATTCAAAAAGGAGAAGCAGACTTGTGCACCTGCTGCAGAATAACCCCATGCATAAGTCCCAGCCAGGAAGTGACTGGCTGAGTAGGGGCTCTGCTGGAAAGGACCTGACGTTTAGGACAGAGCCAGGCTAGATACGAGCCAGTGCTGCACCCGCATCATGAATAAGGCAAACTAAGACTGAATCTGAAGGACTAAATCAGAAGGAGCATGGAGAGCAGAACGAGGCAAGTGATTATCCCTTTACTCAGTGCTGGGGAGGCTGTACTTGGAGTAACGTATCCAGCTTTGGGCTCCACCATTCAGGAGGCATATGGAGAACTGGAGCACATGGCCTACAAGGAGAAGCTGAGGGAACAGGGCTGGTTTAGCACAGCCAAGAGGAGGCTAAAGAGGATTAACAGCAACCTAGAGCAGTTACAAGGGTGGCAGAACCAAACACTTCTTGGCGGTGCCTGATGATAATAACAAGAAGCAATGGCTACAAGTTGCAGCTTGGGAAGTTTCCAGAGGCCTCTTCCCACCAACACTTTATGATTCGCCATCCTGCTCCCACAAGGTCCCAAAAAACAAGCAGCACCTGCACACTATGCCACAAGAGCAGCATGCCACCCCATTGCATGAGCAGGAACCCCTTACCTCCCTTGAATCAGCTGCACAGCTTTGGTGAAGGGAATCTGGGATCCGAAAGAACCATTGAGCAGCCAGCGACACAGAGCCACGGAGGCCGCTCCTCCTAGTAGCTCTGCATGCCTAGGTCACCTTGGGTTCAAGCCCCAACTCTGGGCCTCCAACCTGCCCGGCCGGTGGGTGGGCTAGCAGCACTGCCCTGCCTGCTCAGCAGTCAGGAAGATGGATGCCAAATACAGCAGGGCTGGGAACTGTATAAATATCAGGCAGAGAGATAAGGCTCAAGCCCTCATTACCTTCCAGTATCTGTAAAAGTCGAGATCTTGCTGGAACAAAAGTATTTAGTCAGGCAATAGGAAATGGAATTTGATCTAAACCTGGTTTTAACAAGCCTTGTTTCAGGCTCCAGGAAAAAGCCTGGGAAAGCAAGTAGACAAGACAGGCAGAGAGCAGGCCATGACTGGAGCGGGGCCAGGCTGGAGCCCCCTACACGGAGGATTTTGGTGGAGGACAAAGCAGGAGCTGCCCAGGTTACCAGGGTGCAGGGCTCCTGGGTAAGGGGGACCGACAGAGGAGGCTCTGCCAGCTCCAGAGATCTGAGGAGCTGTGCTTTGGGTGTGATCACAGCAGCCAGGAAGACTTTTCTCAACGCCCTGCAGGCTGGGCTTCCTACCACTGCTCAGCGGCTGCCAAATCCCTCCCTTTCAGCCAGATCATCTCAGTTCAGGCCTTTTGATTGCCTTAAAAGGACACGAAGCATTTCTCTCGAGAGCCTGTTATTTTACTGTGCTGCAGTAGGAGGGCCCGACCTGTTTCAAGAGTTTCCTTGGAGGGCAGAAACATCCAGTGATGGCAGCCCCTCACCAGCCAAGGGATGCACGCCCCCTCCTGCTCAGGACAGCGCAGCTTTTAGGAGGCCACTTTTGCACACACTGCCACCCATGCCAGACCCCTCTTCATCAATAATACAAGGCTAGACACAATAAACATGTTCTCTGCTTTCCTCATCCCCTCTCAAGCTTTATACCCAGCAGGAACCGCTGGGACCCATCAGCCCTGATTTTCATGGAGAGTCTTATGCATGCAGCCCCCTGCATCATTATTCCCGAAAGTCCTACTGTTACGCAGCCCTGCTCCACATCCAAGGCATCTGCAACCACATTCAGGGACAAACTGCCCTGCGAGGTTTGAAGCCAGCTGCTCTCGCCTGCCTCCACAATGTGTTCACCACACACATTGTTTGTCACCAACAGCAGGGTTCATCTGCCCAGCTGAGCCATCTGCAAGGGGGGCACCCTCCTCTGAGCAGCCTGGGAGTCTATGGGGAGGAAAAAGGTGCTCCTAGGTGTAGCTCACCTAATTCAAGGCAGATATCTGCTACGTGGGATTCACTGCCCATTTTTCCTTCCTCCACCATACAAAGTTAATGGGTGGCTCTGTCCACTTTGAACACTTCACTGTGGTTTGGACAAGCGACTCCCACCACGAGGGGTCCAGCAAGTTGAGCAGCACAGAAGCAGCCCCAGAAAAGCCACATAAATAGGTATTGCAGCAAGACTGCCTGGCACGGGCCAAGATGAACTTTCCATGGAGAGAGACCATAGCATCAGTTTGTTCTGGGGATGTCTGGGTTTGCGATAACTCACAGCTGAGCACACGGAAAGCCTGAGAAAAGATTTACATTGAAAGGAATTCCCTCTAAGCCCACAGCCCACATGAACACTTGGAAGTCTATCAGGCTGCAAGGTGGACCAGAAAGCAGTTTATTCTGCAGTTCAGGAATAGCAGGGGGAAAAAAGAAAAAAGGAAAACAGGGATATACCCCAAACCTTATGAATGATCACAGGAAGACTGTCAGATGCTCTAAGCCAGCATCCTGCTTACTGAGACTGGATTCTCAGAGGTAAAAGCAAAATCCTCACAACAGCTGTGTAGAGATAGACCCATCATCCCAATTCCCTAATCACCTTAAGACACCTATTCTGAGGGTTTACAGCCATTTCAACTTTTTTTTCCAGAGTACCTCACACCATGGAGTTGAATACCATATTCTATCCAAGTGCAGCACTTACTGACTTCAGTTGCACTTCTCCAAATCAGTTATTAGGCCAACACAAAATGAGGAACATGAGGTCACTGTCCTGCAGCACAAGACCTCACTGAACAGAGGCAAGAGAGATACTCAAGGCTGCCAGAAAACACAATTATTTTCCTGCCTCCTGCAGCTCCACATCCCATGGAGCTAACTTCTAATTTCTGCCACAAACAAAACAGTAGTCCTACAGTCTGCTTCCTCCGCTGTGCCAAGTGTGGCTCAGCCATGGAGCAGGTCCATCATCTGTTCCAAATAAGGTAAGGGGCCTCAAAAAATAACATATAGTCACTTTATCAGCAGCTGTATTTGGGAAGCAGAGGAAGTGCAGCTAGTGCAGAACACCAATCTTGACCTTTTTTTTTTTTTTTTTTTTTTGAGATTAACTACACTTTCAGAGTCTGATATCTAACATTACAGCAACATAGTTCATCTATAGACTCACCTACACTGAGCTTATCTCACAAGCAGTTTCAGAGATAGTCTAAGCTACACCAAACGGGCAGGTACAAACCAGTACGGAACCAGTACATCCTGGTACTTTGAGATTTTTATCTTAGCCTGCACTTTCAGGAAAAGTGGCATCCAGATGAGACCAAACCAGTAGATAGCAGGAACTTGCAGAAGGTCAGCCTCTCTTTACAGGGGCTTCAGAGATCAGCACGCTCATTTCACTCAGACTAAAGCTAACAACCACCTTTTCACCTGCCTAAAAGCAGCTGATTTTTAACTCCTAGAACTAACCACTCATGCTTCTGCCATGCTCTACAATAGCTGGAAAACCAGTCTTAAGTGCAAGCCCAGATGTTCTACTAAAAAAATCCTACAGTAATCAATCACAGAGCAATCACCTTGCACTTGGAAAGGAGGAGATCACTAAGGAACAGGAGAAAGGTACACGGCAGTTCATACTGGCCAGTCTCATAGTGTTTGTTTGCTTGCTTGTTTTCAAACAATGAGAGCTTTAATGCAAGTGGATGGCAGGAAAGCATTATCAGCGCTGCACAAAATTCACACATTAAGGATATTCACAGTAGTTCATGCAGAACTACTATGTGGCCTGGCAAAGGGACAAACCAAAGGGGAGGAATCTAAGCAGCAGCCCCAAGCTCCGGGGTCTGGATTACCACCTTCCTGTTTACTGGAGAGCAGCTGGCATAGCCATGCAGAAGTTTGAACAAGAAGGGACGTGGCTAGATTAGGCCTATGGGCAGGGAAGAAAGAAATCAGCTCAGGAGATATACACAACACCATGTGGAAAATCACTGGGACTGTCAGGAGCTCAGCACCTACATAACTGTAAGCAGGCCTACGGGGCCCTTTCTCCTCAGGATCTGAGCTCTTCTGGATGTCTGGCCAGGAAGAGCAAGCTCTCTCTGAGAGAGAGCTGACCTGCATAGAGAGTCAGAATGGGAAATACCAGGCATCTTTCACTAAGCGGCCTCACATTGCCTGGGCACAAGCAAAAATGTCTCTGCAGGAAGCAAGTTAGAACTGTCCCCTACCACATCATCGGTTGGGTGGAAGAGTGATGTGGGGAGAGTTAGGCTTGACAACAGCATAAATTAGGATAAATCAACATATCATTCAAGACAGCAATGTCAAACTGCTGAGCAAGAAGAGAACTGGGTCCTGAGGCTGGTGAGCACTGGGACACAGGAAGACTGAACACCATGACAGGGAAATTAAAGAACTGTCCTGGAAGAACCAGCTGCACCAAGCTAGACGTTTCTGAGGGCTTTGCTCAAAAAGGAGGGAAAAAAGCACTGGAGTTGGAGGGGTCCGAGGTGGAAAGGGATCCTCACGCACATGGACTGTGTATTCAATAGCACCCAGTTCCCAAAGCAAGACAGTCAGATGCTACTAGGAGAAAAACTTCTGTGAGCAGCACTGAAGGCAAGTCTTCAGGTTTGCAGTGAAAGTGAACAAGCCAGCGTCACCACAGGACAACGCTGCGCTAAGCCTCCTACCATACATGGCTATTTGTCAGCTCTCAACAACAGCAACATTCCTGAGGAGCAACACATCCTGTCCATCATGCTGTTCCCAAGCGCTGGTTACAGAGGTAACTTGAAAGTTTTTTTATCATGATTGGGTGATTTAACTAATTCCTCAAAGGAAATCCCAGCTTCACCCAGAACAAAAGCAAAAAGCATTTTCAGGTACGCAAAGAAAACCTACTAATTTCTGCAGGGATTTCCCATCCAGCATCTGACCAAGACGGCTCATTCTAGTCTCTTGCAAAGCCTTTTTCAGATCAGTCATGCTCTAACCATCTTGTGCTGCCTCCCAGAAGCAGCAATCAGAGCTCTGCTGTTCGAGGCAGAGTTCGGTGCACTGACATCCTTGCAGGCAAGGCACAGATTCAGATGACAGCGAAGGCCAGCTGCATGCCCTGAGCTGAACAGATGGCACTCACTGAACCACCAGAGTAGAAAAAGTATCACAGTACTTTCACAATTACCTTCATCCACCCTTGAGCAGCAGCAAACACAAACGCTGAGCTACTTGCTGAGCAGCAAGTCCTCTCCAGAGCTAGTGGGAGCGGATCACAGTACCTAAGATACTTCCAATATCATCCACCAAAATTCAGAAGAACCAGAAGGTGAAGAATCCAAGCTGATCCTACAGCTAGTGACACTTTCACATCACACCTTCTCACCCAGTCCATCCATCCTATATTCCTGCACAGAGCTGTTTCCCCGACCAACGCACAGGACTTCCAAGCATCTATTCCTTAGCTCCAGCTCCACCAGACTTTGCCAGCTGTGACTAGGCAGCACCAACTATTTTGCCAAGCGCTAAGTAACATCCTCTCCTACGAGATGGCCCCACTGCCCGCTCTAAGGTTTGGAAAACAGCACCTATCTAAAGTTGAAACTGTGCTCGAGCGCGCCTAGGCAGGTCCCCAGTCATGTAAATCCCTTCAGCTAACTCGAGAGACCTATGCCAGGCCACACCAAATGAGGATGTGGCTGGCTGTCTCCCTGCATACAAGCTTTATTCAGGCTGAAAAGTGAAGCATTAGCAGTGAGCTTATGTTTCAGCAAGGGCATGGGGAGCGAGGACTTCCCTCACAGTCAATCCCAAGAGCGCAACCCTAAGATTTCCCCTTGCAAAAATGCAGCTAGGAACACTACCTAATGGAGGGTTAAAATTAAGGCTAGCTGAAAGCTTTGACATCCGAGAGGGATGTGACCTGTCGCGTTCAATACTCAGT